AAGGAAACAAACAGCGAAGGAAAACAGCACAGGAATCCGTTTCATGGGCCGACCCAAGTGGGGAGTCGCTTCAGCGAAGCCGCAGCTCCTGGATGCACAGGCGCGTCATATAGGATTTGCCTACGTATGTACGCATCTTCCAAGTGAAGAAAAAAAAAATCAACGCACAAATATTAACACTTCAAATCCTATGGCTAGCAAATCGACTGAGACTTCGCGAAGTCTTAGTTGACTGATTTTTAGCAGCTCCATTCTTAATAATTAAAGCAACTTCATTCGCCTGCAAAAAAATCATTTAACAAAAAATTATGAATACTTGTTTTTGAGGATGAAATTATAAATACTTGGTAAATTTAAAACACTATAATTTCTTACTGCACAAATGACTGACAATGTACGTCTTATTGTCAATACAGAGAGGCAAAAAAATGATTGTCAGGAAAATGGAGGCCTTCCAGTTAGTAGCCCCAGGCAGACCCAGCCCAAGCTGTCGGGTTGGCACTTCCATTGGGCATTTGGGCGGCGCCGGAGTATACCACCGCTGCACTGCAGCGTCAACACCGTCACCTTCGGCATCATCGACATCTCCCTTACCACTAGCCTTCAGGTATAGGTACGTGACACCATTCTTGACCCAAGAGGCAAGACATCAACCTCGTTTCCCCGGAAAAAAAAATTAATATCCCTCGACTGTACACCATCCAACTGTAATTAGAGTGATATTGCTCGATCTCTCGGAAGTAACTACAGATGTTTACATGACAGGACCAGTAGTTTTGAGTTTTGACCACAAGGGGGAGGCCTGAAGCAATGAGATAATTATTTTTGTTATCTTATTTTCCCTTCTATCGATCATAATTTATACTGTATTTCTTCCTTTCGAATTTCCGAAACAAAAATCCAAGGTAATAATAGACAGGTGCATGTCGTGGGGCCATAAATTATTAGCTCCAATTAAGCAGCGTGATTTGGACGGATTTCACTGTGTTTTGAACATTCTGTATTGTTCTTGTGGTGAGGAGACAAGGTTGACTGACCGGAGGATGTTGATCAGAGCAATCCGATTGGCCAAGGTGCTTTGGCCCATGGTTATGACAAGTACAATCAATATGCAAGACTTGCAGGTGTAAGAGCAAATGACACCGATGACTTATCTTCTTCTGTATTTTTTCTCCGCTCCTTTCATTTCTTTTTCTTTCCACTTTTTCTTTTCTCTTTTCAGTTTTTTGGTGTTTTCATTTCGTGTTTAGGCTCTTTCTTTCCTGTATGTGACATGTCCATGTGTTTCATTAGTTTGTAATTTTTAGGATTTTTGTAAATAGCCATCATTTTTTATCACCGACCGATCATGAATATGGTTTGTGCAGATAATAGTTCACTATTGTCGGTCGGCGAGAAAAGTGTAAAGCAGGTCCGGCATGCATGTTTGTCTTTGCAATATTGAATAATTACTGAGAGTGATATTGTGTGGTGTCTCAGAAGTAACTAAGGGCATCTCTAGCTGATCTCTTGAAAAGATTTAGAGTAGTAGAATTTCAGTTTTGGTTCGCTAAACCTCATCTAGCTGATCACTTATTCATGTTAGGCCGTGTAAACCGAATCGGTGCTTACACAGGTGCCATAAAAAACCTGGGTTTTTGTCCTCAAGGTTAGATTGCACCGATGCTTATGAAAGGAGGCAGAAGCAAACTTTTGCTTTTGATGCCAGGCGGTGCATAGAGTAATAACCGCCCCACTTCAAATCACGTGTGCTTCACTAGAAAGCCTCTGTCGGTAGAAAATAAAAATAAGACAACACCTCCATGTCAGCAGTAGAGCACCTCTGCATTGGAGACAATGGGTGCAGGTGCTGCGCGAATGTCAAAGCAGCCTAGGCACCCATACGAAGCACTATGCGTTGGGAGGCAAAGAAATTTTTGAGACATAATGCACCTAGCACCCTGTGCAGGCACCCTGCATTGTACAAGGCCTAAAATATTTTACTGCACGGCTGCCCAGGTGATCACGTACTGCAGCGTGCTCAGGGCTGATAGTCGGCGTTCGCTCCCCTGTCATGCTCCAAACCATGATGAATTGGGGTGCTTTATTTACTCTATTTCATCCTAAGTTTAAGTGATGATATGTCCTGAGGTCATCGATGACGCGTCCTTCCCGCTGGTGCTGCTCGTCCCGATGTAGTCATCAATGTCGCCGCTTGTGCCGAGACGCATAACAAGTGTTTGACGAATTGCACAAGCCAAATAAATTTTTACTTCGCTTTTTTTACTCCACTTAGTTTAGAGTATCGGCTGGAAACGATCATTTTTTTAGAGGAGAAAATCTGATCCTCTAAAGTTTACTCAGCCGTTTACTATTTTAAAATTTAGGAAATCAGCTAGAGCTGCCCTAAGATGTTTACAGGACAGGACCACTGAACCAGTAGTTTTAGACTGCATGGGGAGGCCTGAAGCAATGGGAGTACGTTCACTTATTTGTATTGAGCGTTCGGAGTACATCCACTTATTTGTATGTTTATTAAACATACTTTATTTATTCCTTCATTTTAAAATTCCAAAACAAAAATCAGAAGTAATAGCAGGTGCTTGTCGTGGGGCCATAAATCACTATCTCCAATTAAGGAGAGTGATTTGGACCGATGTTGCTCTGCTTGGAACATTTCCACAATATTTTCTTGGTGAGGCGAGACAGTTGTGTTTTGAACATTTCGTTGTGCGCAAGACACTTCGTTGTGCGTGGTCCTTCTAACAAAAAAAATACTCCCTCCGTCCCATAATATAAGAACGTTTTTTACATTAGTGTAGTGTCAAAAACGTTCTTATATTATGGGACGGAGGGAGTAAAAGCTAATATTGTGGTGAGTAGAAGGTTGACTGACCAAGAATGGTTATCCGGTAATTGGCTGAGCTGCATGGCCCCGTGATAACGATGCACATGGCACTACATATGCCTTCTCAACCAGCCATCGGCACTGTGTACATAAAGGGGTGCAAAGCACCCTACATTTTGTTTGGTCTGATGATATCATATGCCCGTTCATCTTCTTGGAGTAATTACTGGCGTCTCCAACACCGACCCGCAAATTCCTCCATTATATGTCCGTTTTTGTGTCCGGATGTAGTCCATGGGCATGATACGGGACGGATCCATCCATGCTAATTACAAAGTATCCGGCTGGGAGGAGAAAAAGTAGGTGAGGACCATGCATGTGGTGGCTATTTGTGGTGTGGTTTCTGGTTGGGAGGAGAGAGAGAAGAGGGGACCATGCATGTGAAGAGAGAGAAAAGAGAGGAGGATTGCACGGAGGCTTTTAGTTGGTCAAGTGGATGTCCGGGCCCCGGTATATCTCTCCTACTTTTGTCTCCAATTTCCCGAAAAATGGACGTCCGGACCACTTCGCATACCGATACAAGTCTCCATTGAATTGCAAAAGTAAACAAATGTGTCGGGTCGGACATATACCGTAGATTTGATGTTTACGCAGCATGATCAATTGTTTATTTTATCAGAAAAAAACTAGGGGAGTGCCGGAAACATTGGAATAGTTTTTTCTACAGGGTGCTAGTTACATTCTTCCTTTTTGTTAAACATAATTTATAACTGTATTTCTTGTATCCAAATATCCAACAGGAAAAATTAAAGGTAACAAGTGCTTGTTGTTGGGCTGGAAGTCATTTATCTCCGCTGAAGGAGAGTGATAGAAGGCTCCTGATTGGCCGATGTCGCTGTGCTTTGAACATTCCGTGGAATTGTTGTGGCGAGGACAAGCTTGAGTGATTGGAGAATGGTGATATGGTAATTGGCTGCATACGTCCAGTCACTAGTTAGTAACGAAAACCCGGTTGCCCAAGATATATGGCACAAGATAAGAACACGTCCAGGCAGTATTCAAGTGCAAGAGAAAACCTCGTGGACGGCGTGGCTGCCACCCGTGTGTGTGTTATCGTTACGGTACTGCACAAAAGATAGAAGGCAAGACTGCCGGAGGCTGCTCAGCCACCGTGTATATAAATGGAAGTGAGGCAGAGGGTAGAAATCTATCAAGCTCTTTTCTTTCAGTCTTGAGCCACCCAACCAAACAGAGTCGCCCTTACACATATGTTCTCCACTATGCCGCATCCCGTGCCATTAGTACTGCTGTTGTTGCTCCTACTAATTCAGCTCGTGGCAGCAAGCTCACCCCCCTTGGGCTCATGGTACGTTCACCAACCACACCACCATACTACCCGTTCGATGCTTGCTAGGCCAGGCTTCCGCGCTGCTCCGGCTGAAACGTTCCTTCACCACCACCGACGAGTCCGTCGCGGCCTTCCACTCATGGAAGGTTGGCACAGACTGCTGCCGTTGGGAGGGCATCCGCTGCGGTGCCACCAGCGGCCGTGTCACTTCCCTTGATTTGGGTGATCGCGGCTTGGAGAGTGATCATCTCGATCATGTGCTCTTCGAGCTGAACTCCCTCAGGTATCTCAACCTGGGTGGAAATGACTTCAGTCTTTCCGAAATCCCATCCACCGGGATTGAGCAGCTCACCAGGCTCACCCATCTCAACCTCTCCTCCTACTCTGAAATTACTGAGTGGTACGATCATACCCATATGATTCGAGTCTATTTCGATCAGCTCATACTGCCTAACTTAACAGCCTTAGTTGCAAACCTTACAAGTTTGAGGGAGCTCCATCTTGGTTGGGTGGATATGTCCGGGCAAGGAGAAAAGTGGTGCAGTGCTCTAGCCAATTACACTCCAAATCTTCGTGTTCTTAGCTTGCCCTTTTGTAGCCTCTCGAGTCCCATTTGTGGATCTCTCGTCGGTTTGCAATCACTCTCTGTGGTCAATCTGCAGTACAACAGGTTGACCGGTTCAATTCCAGTGTTCTTTGCCAACTTCTCCTCCTTGAATGTTCTCTAGCTTAGTTATAATAACCTTGAAGGACGAGTCCCGCCTGTGATCTTTCAACACAAGAAACTAGTGACTATTGATCTTCACCACAATCCTAACATATTAGGTAATCTGCCGAATTTCTCAACTGATAGTAATCAGCTGGAGAACTTGTTTGTCGGCGACACCAATTTCTCTGGTACAGTACCAAATTCTATTAGTAATCTCAAACATTTGAAGAAGCTAGGCCTTGATGCACTTGGTTTTACTGGAGAGCTACCCTCATCAATCGGTAGGCTCACATCCTTGAATTCATTGCAGATCTCTGGGTTGGGACTAGTAGGATCGATATCATCATGGATCACAAACCTAACATCCCTAGAGGTTCTAGTAGTTTCATGTTGTGGCTTCAATGGACCAATACCTTCTTCCATTGGTGATTTGCACAAATTGAGGAAATTAGCACTTTATAAGTGCAATTTTTCTGGGAAAATACCTTCGGGTATCTTGAACTTAACTCTGCTAGATACCCTAGTACTTGCTTCGAATAATCTCGTAGGCACTGTGCAATTGAACTCGTTATGGAAACTACAAAACCTATATGATTTGAATCTCTCAAACAATAAATTAAGTGTAATAGAAGGAGAACACAATTCTTCATTGATATCCTTCCCAAATATTGCATATCTAGGTTTGGCATCATGTAACATAAATAATTTCCCTAACATTCTGGGACATACAGATAAAATAAAAGTAGTTGATCTTTCGAGTAACCAAATTCATGGTGCCATACCCCAGTGGGCATGGCAGAAATGGACAGACCATGGCCCTTTGTTTCTGAACTTATCACACAATGAATTTAAAAGTGTTGGGTACGAAACCTTCCTTCCTTTTCATATAGAAATGTTGGACCTCAGTTTTAACATGTTTCAGGGGATAATACCTTTACCCCAATACTCCGGGGAGATGCTTGATTACTCAAGCAACTTTTTCTCTTCCATGCCTCCTAATATTTCTACTCAACTTGAAGATACTTCCTATTTCAAGGCATCAAGCAACAACCTCTCAGGGAATATTCCACCATCTTTTTGTAGCACAGTACTGACAATTCTTGATCTGTCTTACAACAACCTCAGTGGCTCAATTCCTTCATGCCTAATGGAGGATAACAATGCACTGCAAGTTCTTAATCTGAAAGAAAACCAACTTTCTGGACAACTGCCACATAATATCAATGAAAGTTGCAAGTTTAAGGCACTAGACTTGAGTGGCAACCAGATTGAAGGACAGTTGCCTAGATCTCTAGCTTCTTGCAAGTACCTGGAGGTCCTCGATATTGGACACAATCAAATTAGTGACTCTTTTCCATGTTGGATGACTGCACTTCCCAGACTTGAAGTCCTCATCCTAAAGTCCAATAAGTTATTTGGACAAGTGTCACCTTCTATTGATGATGAGAAAATCACTTGTGAGTTTCCAAGGCTGCGGATCCTGGATCTGGCCTCCAACAACTTATCAGGGACATTGACAGAAGGATGGTTTATTAGATTGAAGTCCGTGATGGTTGAAGTTGTGAATGAAACGTCAGTCATGGAGTATAACAGCTATCAAAACCAAGTATACCAGGTCAACATTGTGCTCACATACAAAGGGTATGCCGTCTCCTTTACCAAAATACTAAGAACCCTTGTATTCATTGATGTCTCAAACAATGCAATCCATGGTAGCATCCCTGGAGCTATTGGAGAACTTGTTTTGCTGCAAGTGCTCAACATGTCGCACAACTCCTTCACGGGGCCGATTCCATCTCAGTTCATCTATTTGCACCGGCTGGAGTCTTTGGATATCTCATCAAATGGTATTTCAGGGGAGATTCCACAGGAGATATCCTCTCTCGACTTCCTCACAACATTGAACCTATCCAACAACATGCTGGAGGGAAGGATACCAGAATCGCCTCATTTCTCGACATTCGATAATAGCTCATTTATGGGTAACACTGGGTTATGTGGGCCTCCACTGTCAAAACAGTGCAGCAATGAGACACCACCAAATTCGGTGCTTCATAATTCGGAGGAGAAATCTGCAGATGTTATGTTGTTCCTTTTTGTTGGATTGGGACTTGGTGTTGGGTTTGCAGTTGCAATTGTAGTGATACGGGTGCTCCCCCTTAGAAAGAAATCCTGAACGATCACTCAAATCAGGAAAACAAATGTACACCATGAGACATATGGACATCATTTGTAATAGTTCTAGCTTTATTGTTTTTATGTTACCGATGATCTGCTGCAATGGTATAGCTTGAGTTCACACGCATGCCGTCTTGTACTATTGTATATGTATGGTTTGGTCCAACCATCCGTAGTAGCATAAAATAGTAATGAATAACTAAGAGGTACTTGTACGTTGTATGTTTTCTTCTTTCCCAACATGAAGGCATGTAAATACGTAATTAACTGGAGTGTATGATTATGTTGATTGGTTTCTGCACTTGTGCTTGCGTTGGATGGATATACTTGTTTGCACAAAAGGGGTATTTTCTTTGGTCCCAACATTAGAAGCATGTAAGAATCGTCAATGGTCTCACTGATTGTGGTCGTATTTTCTTTGTTGTTGTACATGTTATATTTGTGTCGAATATTATGTACACAAGGAGTGACGTGGATTTGGAGTTGTAATTGGTATGGATAGGTACGAGTCGTGTAGGAGTCGGACACGTTGTATCCTAGGCCTCTTATATATCGACCGGCACCACACGTTGTAACCCATGATGACTTGATAGCAATAGGTACGCGGGGAGCCGGCGGCTTGTGCGGGCGCCCGGCTTGTGTCAGAGTAGCAAGTTGCAGTTGGTGTGCACATATGCAGTTGTGTGGGTAGTGGAGAACATGCAATTTCCCTCCACCTGACGAACCACAATTGAGTTGCAATCACATGGAAGACATGCAGTTGCAATCAGGGGCAACACTTGCAATTGCGTGCCTAGTGGAAAACATGCAACTAGCCCCCATACACACACAAACACCACATAGTTGCAGTCAGAGGCAACACTTGCAGTTGCATACGTAGTGGCAGCATGCAATTGCGCCTTCCAGACAAAACACTACAAAGTTGCAGTCATGTTGAAGACATGCAGTTGCAGTCTGAGGCGACATTTGCAATTGCATCTCTAGTGGCAGACATGCAACTGCCACTCTTGACAAAACACATCAGAGTTGTAGTCAGGGGCGACACTTGCTATTCTGTGCCTAGTGTCACGCATGCAGCTACCACACCTCCCCGACAAAAACACCACATAGTTGTTTGACATGCAAAAACCCATCCTCGATAAAACACCACTGAATTGCAGACATGTTAAAGGCAAGTAGTTGTAGTCAGGGATGACATTTGTAGTTGCATTCCTAATGGCAGACATGCAACTGCCACTCCTGACGAAATACCTCAGAGTTGTAGTGAAGGCAACACTTGTAGTTGCATGCCTTATGATAGACATGCAACTGTCCCCTCTCCAGACAAAACACCACAAAATTACGGTCGTATTAAAAACATGCGGTTGCATTCGGGGAGACACTTGCAGTTGCATGCCTAATGATAGACATGCAACTCACACTACTGACAAAGCACCTCAGAGTCGCAGTCAGGGGCGACACTCGCAGTTGCGTGCCTAGTGACAGACATGCAACTTCCCTTCCTCTCAGACAAAAACATCACGTAATTGCAATTGGGGGCAACACTTGCTGTTGCATGCCTAGTGGCACACGTGCAATGACCTCTCCCGACAAAACACCACGAGTTGCAGTTGCGTTGAAGACATGCAATTATAGTTGGGGGTGACACTTGCAGTTGCAGACATGCAACTACATCTCTCCCGACAAAACATGACTGAGTTGCAGTCGCGTTGAACACATGCAATTACAATCGAGACACGACACTTGTAGTTGCATGCCTAGTGATAGACATTCAATTGACCCCCTCTACCTACAAAACTCCACTAAGTTACATATGCGTCGAAGACATGCAATCGCATTTGGGGGGCAACACTTGCAATTACGTGTCTAGTGGTGGACATGCAACTACCCCCCTGACAAAACAACATTGCATTGCGGTCGCGTGAAAAAGACACACAGTTGCAGTCGAGAGCGACACTTGCAATTACGTTCCTAGTGACAGACATGCAATTGCCCCTACCCAACATACAAACACGATGAAAACTAAATAAAAAGCTTGTCACACCCACTAAACATCCGCTCCCTGTTACAACGCAGCCAAAGACACTCGCATTAATCTCGTGTGGCGCACATATCCTGAAGTTCCCATGTATCTATCGGCTACAGCCTGTCCCACACCTGAGAATGACACAAAACAAAAAATAAACACACACAAAAAAATGATTTAAAAAAAATAACATTAACAATAGAAAAAACTTTTTTGTAAAATATGAAAATAAATATAGCAAAATTAAGAGAAAATAAAATAAATAAAAAGACAAAAAAGAAAAAGAAAAAACCCACACAACACAATCTACAGACTTCGTAAAGGCCTATAGAAACCGCACTGTTAAAAAACAAAGACAGCAAAGGCCCAATGCACGAACAGGTACTGCTGCCCCCACGTTCCTATACGTACGTACGTGGGAGCTCCTATTGGCCGCCCGCCAGCGGCAAATTGCGGACCCTTCGCTGAAGGCAGAGAAAATGGGCTGACCAATTAGGCGGTAGACGAGCTCCAGGGCAAGTAAAATAATAACCAAAAAGTTATGAACCAGCGAGAATTCGATCGAACTCACAACCTCCCTTTCGTGAACGGGTGCCGCTAACCAAGACAGCTACCGAGCTATGGTCATAAATTAGAGGCGCGATACGATAAGTATTGTAATCTTTTGATTTTTTTAGAAAAACATAGACTGAACATTTGTGATATCCATTGAACATTTTAAATAATACACAGTGACCATTTCTTAATATACGATGAACATTTTTGAAAAATATAAATGTATGTGTTGAACAATTGTCGAATATGCATTGAACATTTAGTAACAAACGTTGAACAATTTCATAATATATGATGAACATTGTGATAATATATGATGAACATTTTTATATGCAAAGGTGAACAATTTTCATAATATACAATGAACATTTTTCTTAATACAATGAACATTTTTGTAATACCTGTGAACATTTTATATAATATGGAAATAAAGAGAAGAAAACAGAAACAGAAAAATAAAAAAATAACTTAAAAAAAGAACCAAAATAGAAAAATAAAAAAACGGAACAAAACAATAGAAAATCAGAGAAAACAGTGAAAAACTGGAAGTAAGAAACCGCTTAAGAAAAACGAAACAAAAAAATGCAGAAGCATCAAAGGAAACAAACAGCAAAGGAAAACAGCACAGGAATCCGTTTCATGGGCCGGCCCAACTGGGGAGTCGCTTCAGCGAAGTCGCAGCTCCTGGACGCACAGGCGCGTCATATAGGATTTGCCTACGTACGTACGCATCTTCCGAGTGAAGAAAAAAAATCAACGCACAAATCTTAACACTTCAAATCCTATGGCTAGCAAATCGACTGAGACTTCGCGAAGTCTTAGTCGACTAATTTTTAGCAGCTCCGTTCTTAATAATTAAAGAAACTTCATTCTCCTGCAAAAAAATCATTTAACAAAAAATTATGAATACTTGTTTTTGAG